CCTGCTCAGAAGGTAAGTATCTCCTTCAAGCTGAGGCCAAGAGAGACCCAGCAGACTAGACCCCTCTGATGACCTGCTCCAGAAGCGCCGTGTCATCTGTCAAAGCTGGACCCCACCCCCACCCTCCTGCTGTGGTGTATCTGCCAGCCTCTCAGGCCCCCAACCCCAGCAGGGCTGCATCCAACACAGCCGGCTGGCAGGGGTGACCATGTGGCGGCAGGGGCGACAGAGTGTGGCCCTAGGGTAAGCCGCTGCCTCCGGGCCTCCCTGCAGACAGCGGGGCCTTTGTGTGTAGCCGGCTGGCGGGACTCCCTGGCGGGGCCCGAGCCTCCTGGCCGGCACATTCCTGCCTAAGTGGAATCGTCATATCTGCGGCTTCCTCAGCTGCCTGTCCTGTTGGGAGTCTGCTTTATGCAGGGACCACTGAAGCACTTCTGAGTGCCTCCCCGACACAGCACTTTCCTTCTGGAAGACCTTTGAGGGTAGACAGCTCCATGGGAACAATAGTCACCAAGGCCGGGTAAAGGTGGAAAGAGGGTCCTAACCGGCCAAGCCAACAGGGAGCATCCCTCCAACTCCAGCCAGGGAGGAGGACCAGCGGTGAGCCCTGGAGGCACCAGGGTGGGAGTGGGAGAACTGGTTTCTGGGGCTGGCTCTCTGGGGGCCTTTGGACAACAGTCAGTTAACATTTTTGGGCCTGTCCTTCTACTTGTGAGGCAGGAGGATCGTCCTCAAATGTGAAGAGAATGATCAAATTCGACCCTTCTTTGCTTACCCAGAAAGGCTACTCAAGCCCTGAGAGGCAGGTGGACACTCACCCAGCCCTTGGTGACCAGCCACCCTGGGGCAGCCAGCACTGAGCAGCAGAGGTGGGACTAGCGTGGAGCAAAGGGTTAAATCGTTCTGGGAATAGTTCAGGTCTGGAAAGAGAGCAGACCCTGCTGCCCCTCCCCCAGCAACACGGGGAGCTCATTAAAATACCAGAGTCACCAAAAGTGAACCAAACCCAGTATTCTAACTAATTAACATAGAAGAGAGTCCTTTTCTTCTCCTGGGGGAGATAACTGGCTCTTTAACTGGCTGGGTCTCCTGTGAAAACATAGGCAGTCTTTCCCACAGAGGGAGACCCCCAAATTCCCGGGGGCAGCCCCTGGTACCCTGCCCCCAGAGCGGACACTTTCCTTCAGTCTTCTGTCATCTTCCCGGCCTCAGATCATTCAGAGCCTTCCGCTTTTCACAGAATCCTTAGGAACGCGTCAACCACAAGGTAGAAGACCCAGTAATGCCCAGGACAACAAATTAACCCAACGGGAAAGCCAAGGTTGGGAGGGTGAACCTACCAAGTCACCACAACTTTAATTAAACCCAAGGCTGAGGATTAAAACAAACAAAACTGGGCCCGGCAGTCTGGGCTGTGCCATAACCATTTATTGACACACACCTGCCGTTTCCACAGGATCCGACCTCCGCGGGCTGTTCGCGGTGACTTTCTACCACCCCAGGCCCCAGCGGCAACACCTTCTTCTAAACTCTCAAGACACCTGACACTGCTGCAGCCGTGCTGACACCAGGTATAGGTGTCATCTCATCCTGTTATACAGCTGTGGCCACAGATCTCTGTCTACAAACATGTCTGTCTCTCCACCCAGATTGCCAGCGCTTCCAGTGCCGGAGTAATGTACTCAAGTATTCTGGCACCTTCCTTCTCCTTTTGTGCCCATGGCCGACAGCACTAATCTATCCCCGCATTCTCTGGCACTGACTCTCACATCCTTGCCAACACAGAGCTAGGCAAGGCAGTACTGATTGATCGGAGCTGACACTTAGAATAAAACCCATCTGCAATACTTAGTCCAATCGTTCTGAAGTAAGTGGGGGCACTTTTGCCCCCCAGGGAACATTCAACAGCAATGTCTGGGGGCATTTTTGATTGTCACAACTGGAGAGGGAGGGTGCTATTGGCATCGAGTGGGCAGAAGCCAGGATGCTGCTAAGCATCCCATGATACTCAGGATAAGTCCCACCCCCACCAAGCCTGCAACAACAGAGTATCCAGCCCAAATGTCAGTGGTGCCAGTTTGAGAAACCCTGGCTTAATCTAACAAATACATAGAGAAACCATATAATTTATCATCCAAACTGGGGTGCTTCTGAAAGTAAGAGAGCAGTGTCAATACTAACTGCAAGACAGCAGGCATAAATCAGGACTCACAGGCAGACCAGAGCATTTAAGAGATGAAAGGCAGCGGAGGTCCCTAGGAGAAGTCAAAGAGCTCCTCTCATAAAAGTCCCCAGACAAAGCCACCAACTCCCCTATTTGGCAGAATAAATGTCAGTATGTCATAAGCCACAGCCAGCTCAGGGACGAAATCTTTCTAGTTCTCATTTAAAGAAAAAGCAAAAAGGAACCGTCTGGCTGTGTCTTTTAGGATGTGTGTGTCAGAGAACAGACTTGTGTTTCTCAAAGCCAGTGGGGCTGCGTGTACTAAGTAAAACACTCTCTCCAAAAGAGAGAAGCTGATTCTAACAACCTGAGGACCCCAATGCTCCACTGTTATTACCTGACTTAGGGCAAGAACCAAAGACTCCTCCTGGGAACTTTGTTTACTGGTGAACCATCTTGTCATAACAGGGCTACTTCTGTTAATTAACTTCCTCCCTGTTGTCTCAAGAACGAGAAATCTGTTGCCAATTGCTTTGCTGGTCAACTATGTGCAACAAGAGGGAACTTGGAAATGTCGCTGGTTAACAAGGGGGCTGAAGAGCTGCACCGAGTGCAGCATGAGGCAGAGAGTGGGTGAACACTTCTCAGTTTGAGGTTCAGAAAGTACATGGACCCAGCACCTACACAGATCATTAAAGAGAAGCACTAAGACCCTAGGTTCCTCGTGCCTGCAGATGTATTTCCTATCCCTGTTCTCCAAAAGATGAAAACACCCACCCGTTTGCCCTCATAATTTGAGGCAGCTCCTTGGTTCCTGTCAAGGCCATTCCATTACAGCCAAGACTTCCTGCTCAACACAAAGGAAAGCTCCAGTCCTCTGCAAGTTCCCTTTTCCTTTTTCCCCCAACTGTCTCCAACCTGCAGAGCTGACTTTTGTCCCTCAAAATTATCATGGTTGAACACATATAACTTGGGCAAATCTCTTTGGGAAGAAGTCCCACAGGTTGTTAGAAAAAAGGCTAGCAGTCTCATTTCAGAAATTCCAATTCTTGGAGCCATGCTATGGTATATCACTACGTTATTCTTATCATAATGGCTTGATGAGAAGTGAAAAAGCCCACTTGCTAGAAAAAAACCTTTTGGGTTCAGGGTCCAAGTGTGGGAACAGGTCTAACTCAGCAGTGCAGAGCTCAAGAAGACTCCAGCCTGCATGAGGCCAATTATGAGAGCCAGGAGAAAACTGACTCATAACCTCTGGAGACAGACTCAGGCTCTTCTGGAATGCCACAGAATGTTCTCCCACCAGACTCTTCTTAGTTAGCACTCTGAAACCGACATCCTACTTTAAAACTAAGAGGCTGGCTTCCTCAAGGAATTTTGATAGACGTGAACATAAGCCAAAGGGGAGGTCACACATCCCACATAATTCACCACGTTTGGTGATGAAACTCCTTCCACAGCACTGTGTGGAGGGTACAAGACAGGCCCACATGTTGCCATTTTAAACCACTAAACCAGGGATAAAGTTAATGCAAGACTCATCACCACCGCTGCCTAGATTGACTATTAAGTTTAAAGAAAAAAAAACAAAACAGGATGCCCATGTAATAAGACATGAAAAACCACTATCAATATGAGAACATAACCCTATGCTAAGTAGCTGGCTAAGCTCTGAGAATATAAAAGCAACATGGGCCTGGTCCACACCAGGTAATACCAAAGTATTACCAGGGTTAGCCCAGACATCCTCCCTAGCTGGCAGTAACACTTCAGTCACATCTTTAACAAAAGAGTAGAAACTTGTCAGTTATTGCAAGGCAGATGAAACAGACATGGTGATTTGAAGCAGAAAGGCCTACTGGAGAAATATAAGGAGTTCCATGCAGCCAAGAAGTTGGAGAGGTAGGCAGTAGGCCAATTAAAAAAGGGACAGTGTAAGATGAATCAGGTTCCAGGCTTGGGTGATTGGGTGGATGGAGAAATAGCATCTGGGAGCAGTGGACTGGGGGCAATCAACTAAGAGAGCTGGTCCTCAGCTGGAAAGTGATGGCAAAGCCACTCAAGTGGATGGGGCCACAGTCCAGAGGATGAGACCTTGAGGAGCAACAGGTGTTAACAAGGGAGAAGACATGAATGGGCCCGAAGAGATTAGGGCCCACAGGAAGGAAGGGCTTTCAAAAGGAAGTGGTCAAGACTGTCCAATCCTAGGAGAGATTAAGTAAGATAAGAACCAAGAGCTCCACAGAAGGGAGGGTGGCCTTTACCAGACAGTCTGGGAGGGCAGCGGATGATGCGCAGGGGCAGGAGTATGGCTGAGAAGTGCTTAATGGAGGCAGGGAGCGTGGATACTTCCTCTAAAGAGTTTCACTGTGATGGAGGAGAGCAGAGACAACCCACAGAGGACACAGAATCCAGGAGAGACTTTGTCTGTTTTTTTCAAAGATGTAAAAACTCACACATGTTTCCAGACTGTGGAGACGAGAGTAAGAGGTTAAAATCACAGAGGAAAGGGAATAACAGGTAGAAGAGGCAGCCCGGAAGCCAGAGGATGGGCACAGGAGCTCTTGATCAGAATGAGAAATTGGGAAAATAATTAGGAAATGCACTTCTTTTTTAAAGCTTCTACAATATTCTATCAACATATAAACATCTCCTTTGACAGCCACCAGCCTTGGCTCTCATGAAATGGCTTACAGACCTCGGTGCACAGCCCCCTCACCAGTACCACTGATACCAATCCACAGGATCACCAGGGCTGTGAACATGAAGGAGCACCTGCAAAGTTGCCAAGGAGGCTGCAGGTAAAGATAGACCCTTGGAAGGCTGAGGGACTCACCTTGCATCATACTCCTATAGGCGGTGTCTGTGATAGCGTAAATGTGGGGGGGCATCTCATGCCTCTTCTTGCCCTTGTACATTTCCACGATCTCTTCAGAATAGATGGGCAGGTTCTTATAAGGGTTGATGACCACACAGAACAGGCCTGAATAGGTCTGAAAAGAGTGACAAACAGGAATGGGTTAAGAAGTTTGACTCACAAAGTCATGCAAACTCTGTGGCAAAATGTCTGCTGCCTCCAAGGATCCCAAGTCAGCCTGATGTGAAAGCACCTCCTGGAGCCCCTGGCTTTCCAGGTCCTGCTCCAGCAGACCTGCTGAGGCATGGGGGCACCACCAGCATTTCTGCTCTTTCAGTGCGGGGCCTCCCTTGACTGCAAGACTGCTGCCAGCTGTGTGTGCCAACAAGCATGGGCTTTGGGCAAGATACGGGGCAAGCATCATGGACAGTAGGAGTCCAGTTATAAAACTGAGATGTAAGGACAATAAGAGCCGTGTTTGCCTTCATGAGAAAGGGAAAAGGATGAAAGGGAAAGGGAAAGGGAAAGGAGAAAGGGAAAAGGATGCGGCTGCAGCATGCCAACTGTGTGAAGATACAAATTATTCTATCCTGAAGGACTTTCCAAGATAGTCAAGCTGAAATGTTTCCAGCATTGGGAAAGACTCATTATGCTCCTCAACCATCTACATCCTTTGTGGGAGAGTAGATCACTGACAGATATCCCCTCCCTGGAATCTTCCAGAGACACTCACATGAAGATCTCTAAAAAAAAAAAAAAAAAAAACACCAAAACTTAAAGACCACTGTCCTGTCCACCATGAGCTTTCTCCAAGACTCGGGTCTCCTCTGAAGGGGAACTCAATTCATCAGCGCTCACAGTGAGACTCCTGGGAACACACCTGACACCCCAAGTCTGAGTTCACCATGTTAAATCAGACCTCAGAGTCAAATCCCAACAAGGGCAAGTTTCTTAACCGCCCCCTCCACTTCTCAATCTGTAAAATGGGCACATGCAGGCTCGTTGATCCTCATTGTGTGAGGGGCTCGGAGTAGTTCAGAGAAGCAGTTTCCAGTGGCAACAGTCTAGGCAGACCTGCCTTTCTTTGGTGTCTTCTTTTTCTAATAATTTCCCTGCTATTTTTTTTTCTTCCAAGACCCTCCCCCACCCCACTCCCTGCAACACACAAAAAAACATATTCTAATACCTGGAAAAGACTCCCAAGACCACCTAGGGGGCATGGGTACTCACTGAGGGACACAGCTCTCTTTAGGCAGCTGGACCAACACAAGCACCTTCTCCCAAGAAAAACAGGCCAGAGGCCCCAAAGAAGCCAGGCGAAGCGAGGCCCACAAGCCATGACTCACACACACCTGCAGCCCCCGACTCTGTTGAGTGACAGCTGAAGACCACGGGGCAGGTTCCTGGCAGAGTTGGGAGCAGACCCAGGTCCCACGACGCCCCTCCCCACCCCCAGCCAGTGCAGACCTCCTTGGCCGTGGAGGCCAACTCTCCAAGCTCCTCACATCTTTTTGTTTCCCTCGCTACAAGTGCCCTTGACCCTCACTGTCCACAGTGTTGCCTCTGGATCCAACAGCAGCCCACATTCGAGGGGTTGTGGATGTATCAGTCCATTCCCTTCCATTCCTGCCCTCTCCAGTCTCGCCAAAAATGAGAGTGGATCTTGTAGCTAAATCCAAACACAGGATCCACATGGGAATGGGTCGTGAGGACAAAGCTCAAGGGCTACAGGTCTTGAACTTTCCAAGCAGCAGTTAGGCTGAAAGCAGAACTCCAGAGGGACCCAACAACCTCGCACTGGCCTGCATGCAAAAGAGCAGCTGAGCTTGGGACATGAACAAGTGTGTTTGGCTGCCTCTTCTGCTTGGAGGAGGGGATGCAAGGCCCTTAATTTCCTTTCTTCCTGGGATAATCAGTCAATTGTTTTCCCTCCAACTACTCTTTTCAGGAGGGACCAGGAAAGCTCTAAAGCAAAGCCGTCTGCACATGGTATCAGCAAGCTCTGGCTCGGGTACTATGAGAAGACAGGAGCGCCTTGGGGAACCTCTGGTTTTCCCTCCACTACTGTTGGGTGGGGACGAGATGGCAGACTAGGCAGCAGGCAAGTCATCCCAGGAGCTCAGAAACAAGTGCGCTTTGTTCCTGGGGTTTGAGAAAACCCACACTCTAGGAAATCCAGCCTGATGAAAGTGAAGGACACGTGGCCACACATTTAGGGCGCGCCATGGGACCAGATGTTTGGAAACAGCTGGTGGTGACAGCAGAAGGAGCCTGGGGTTTACTAGGACAAGTCGTTCTGACAGCTGGGTGGGCAGATGGTCCTGAGGGGGGTTCAAGAGGACCTCAAAATTCTCAGGGCTAATCCCATCAAATCAGTGGACTATCAAACTAAGCCCCATGGAATGAGCACTGCTGCTCAGGTGGGAGGCAGGGGGCTGTACCTCGAGCCCATGGCTCTGGAAGCCCGTGGAGGCACAGACATTGAGCAAGTGGCTCCGTTCCCACCCAGCCACGCCAGGGAGCTGCTCCATTCACGAGCCACAGAGGCTCTTTGTGCCCGACCGCCCCCTGTCCCCAGGCCTCCCCCCACTGAAGAAACAGACAGAGCAGCTGCGGCGCAGAATTACCCCACACCGCCCACAACGCCAGGCAAACACACCACACAAAGGCTCCCAGGGTCGCAATTTGGAACCTTGTGTGCAGGGGGCGGGGGGGGGGGGGTGGGGGTGGGGGGTGGGCCCTGTGAATGAGGTGGCGCCCCCTTGCCCAGGCAGCCCACCAAGCAGCTTTGATCTTCCCGAAAGCCTGCACCTGCTGGGGTCTCCATTAGGGCAAATGCACAGACAATCAGCTTCCTTCTGGTGAGGATGCTGAGGAGGAAGCCAGCCAGACGGAGGCAGGAGGGTCTGTGCCCGGGAGAGGCCAGCAAAGATGCAAAAATAGGAGTTAACGCCTGATGCCTCCAGATGAAGAGTTTCAGAAAAAAGGCTCAGATTCTACCCCTGAGCTTATAGACGTGGGTCCATGCCTGCCTAGAGAGCAAAACACATGCTCTGGGAGATGAAGCAACTAACACACTTTCATAACTAATGTTCCCATTTGCAGTATGCTGATAGGCAAGTGCAGGCCACCAATTTGTTTCATACTCAGCAGTTCTCTAACAGGACCCAAGCTTAACTGCGACACATACAAAAGGCCAAGCAGAGGATCAGGGCTACCTTCACCTACAACAAATGGCAGCAGCTACAGAGCCCAAGCCTGAATGAGCCCAGGATTGGCTGGTGCTTTACAACATTCTCACAACTCCTTGCAGATGGGGAAGTGAGGGCCCATATAACCATGTCAAATGTTCAGGGAGGGCCAAGATGCAAACCATGTCCTCGAGGCTCCAATTCGCATGACCTGAATCACTCTGCTTTACTGAGTAAGACCATTTCTTAGAGGCCAGCAGAGTGGTTCTAACATAAGTCATCAAGGATACCAAAGGGAGAGTCCCCTTCCCAGACAATAGCACTTATTCCCATCCTCCCTCCACAGACAAGGAATGCTTCCTTAAGGCCTTTTGTTTCTCTGCAAGTCACTAATTCTGAATTTCAACATTAAAACCCCAAGAGAAAGGGCCTTTTAATTTGGTCCATACAATATTTTCATCAAGAACTCCTGACTTCCAATCTCAGGTCTGCCAACACCTGGCCGTGTGTGTAAATCCCTTGCCCTCTCTGGGCCTCAATCCTTCCCACCTGCCATATTACATATTAGAAAGCTGGGAGAAGCTGGTCCATTAAGGACTTTTCCACTTAGACAGGTCAATGTATCTCCTTATCCTACCAACTGTGAACGCCCGCTTATGTGGATAAGCCCTGGAACCACCCACTCTTGCAGAGCCCCGCCCACTTACGTAGATGAGCCCTGAGTAGTAGCGCTCCTTGAGGTTGTGCAGCACGGAGGCTTCGTTGAGGCACGTGAGCTCCGCCATGTCTTCCACTTTGGAGAACTTGGGTGGATTCATCTTCTGGATATCATCCTTGTTCACCTTCACCTTCTTCCCGTTCTCCACCAGCTCCACAATGGCCTCCTCACCCATCTCTTCCTTGAGGCTGGCAGGCTCAAAGCCACTCTTGTCAGAAGGCACCCATACCAGCTTCTTGGCAGCCCAGTCGGCTTGGGCCAGGGGGTTATTGATGAAGTTTTTATCCACATAGAGATACTTATCGGCAGCTTGCTGCGCCATGGTGACTTACAGCCAGGACCTAAGGGAGAAAAAAGGATAAAAGGTTAGCTGTGCACCACACCAGCCACATAAAGATTACTCATCTCATATCTTTGCAAACTGTACAGCATTATAATAAGTAAATTATAGATAACCAGGTTGTACAATTTGTCAAAATTTTCTCTCTCTCTACTTGCTGGAGAAAGATGTATGTTGCTAAAGAAAAAAATGATCAAGGATTCTGTAAGGAATTAATGGTAAGATGTATCCTAGGGTAAATGCATAATCAAATCTATAAACAATTGTGCCAAACAATGAGCATAATAAGAATCTTGCATTACAGTATACTAACACATAGATATGGAATTTAGAAAGATGGTAACGATAACCCTATATGCAAAACAGAAAAAGAGACTCCGATGTATAGAACAGACTTGTGGACTCTGGGAGAAGGCGAGGGTGGGATGTTTCAAGAGAAGAGCATCGAAACACGTATATTATCTAGGGTGAAACAGATCACCAGCCCAGGTTGGGTGCATGAGACAAGTGCTCAGGCCTGGTGCACTGGGAAGACCCAGAGGGATCGGGTGGAGAGGGAGGTGGGAGGGGGGACCGAGATGGGGAATACATGTAAATCCATGGCTAATTCATTTCAATGTATGACAAAAACCACTGCAATGATGTAAAGTAATTAGCCTCCAACTAATAAAAATAAATGAAAAAAAGAAAAAAAAAAAAGAATCTTGGACAGATGTAATTATAGTCACACTAGGCTACACCTACTAAGGCCAGGAAAGTGACCACACAGTTTAAGAAGACTTCCAACAACAACAGATTTCTAGTTAGCCCAAAACAGACAACTGACTACAAGCGCACAGTGTAGGTCTCCAGTTTAAAAAACTTTCTTATTTCATGGAGTCAACCAAGAGAAGAAAACACAACACCAGTATGCTGCCAACAGATTTTAATTCCATTGCCCCAAGAAATAAGGCAAAAAGGAAAGAAGTCAGGCTCCAGGAAACATGGAGAGTAAGTAATGACTGCTTCCCTTCTGGGGCCTAATGTGAAAACGTAACCCTCACAAATTCTTAGCCCAGGAGAACTTAAGCCCCTGTATGTTTGCTTTTTCTGAAGCTCATTTGCAAAACAAAGAAGATAAAATAAGAACCCCTCACATCTGAGTGGTTTTACAGTTTATGAAATACTATCACACACACTTCTCTATCTCAGAAGATTCTCATCCTAACTCTGTAAGCTGGATAAGGTAAGTGTTATTATCCCATTTTACAGATGGGGAAACAGAAGCTCTGGAGGTAAGGAGCTTTGTCCAAAGTTACCTAGGAAGGACTCATGCTCCCTGGTCTAACTCCTGCTTCTCACGGCCTAACCACAGTACTTATTCCTGCTCAGAGGCTCAGCTGGGATCATCTGGGAGGGCAGCTGTTTTGAGTGAATCAAAAGGACTTAGAAGCCCTGATCTAGAACAGAGCCACCAGAGGAATAGCCCAGAAGCTCACTGCCTAGCTTACTACACAGATAGGTTTTTCCCTTGTGAGATCAAGACCCCCTCCCCATGTCCAGGAAGCCAGGAGGACCCCAGATCCACATCTAGAGTCACACAGTCTTTCACGCTTCCAGGTCCCAGCAGGAACTGGAATGCCAGGGAGGCTTGAAATGGAGAGAACAAAAGGAAAAGTCTGGGCCATCCAGGCCTTCTTATCTAGGCTCATTAAATGGTTTCCAGATCAAGGCTGAGGGGCTCCCTTGGACTCACTCCAGGAGAGGCTGTTTTCCAGGAAATCTGCTAGCTCCCCACCACCCCCACCCCCAACAAAGAGAAGGCAAGTCCAAGGAGCAGAGCCTGGCAGCCTCCCCAGCAAGCTCAGTCAGTGGCTTGTTTACATTCCCAGCAAACCCCAGCCCCTCTCAGGGGACCAAGGGGCACCATCCACCTGCAGGGACCACCCCCAGAAGAAGCAAGCAGAGCCCAGAGTTAGGCAGCAGCGAACAATGCAGGAATGGGATGACTGCAAACCACCTGGCTAGCCTCATCTTCTCTGTGAGGCTGGAGGATGGGGGGCTGACAGGCCCACTTACAGCTGTCCTCGCTTCTACACTGGCCAGTCCATTCAAGTAAATCAGAGGCTTCTCTCTGCCAGAGCAAATACCAATTGTCCTCTGCCTCTCTGCTGTCCATCTGACCACAGGCCAGTCGTCCTCCGCAAAACCCTAGCAGTCAGGCTCCCCAAACCAACCTCCCCAGTCACATCACCATGAGGCTCAAGAACCTGCAACAATCACTGGGCACAGGCCTCACTGGCTGCTGGTTCTTAGCCTTTTCTCAGCCCTCAAATAGGTAAGGGACGAGACAGTCTCCCACCAATATGCAAACAGACATTCATTTCAACCCTTCCCCCCCAACCCCAGGCCCACTGCTTGTTAAAGAGTTCTACCAACCCAGCCCAGTGAAGGGGGTCAACCATTAAGTACCTACCCACCAACATCGAGCTCAGTTTATTCACAACCTCACTTAACCATCAATCACCCTGGGGAAAAAAAACCTCTTAGTACCCCCATTTTACAAATGAGGAAACAGCCCAGAGAGGGAAAGTCACTCACCCACAGTCGCCCAACCTCATTATGAACTAACCCAGATCCTCCTGATCCCTAGGTTTGGGCTCTTCCCAATACACTTGTGCCTGGGGTCTTGCAAAAGAAATCCATCCAACATTTTAGTGGGGCTAAAACTGCCAGTAAATTAAGTAGAATACCAGGAGTACAGGGGGACACATTCCACAACATTCATCAGATATCTACTGGGCGTTAGCAGGCAGGCAGGGAGGCTGAGAATGAGCCTTCCTGTGTGGACCGTGTAGCCTGTCAAAAACAGAGCAGGTTGAAACAGCATTCTCGCTCCCTCGGCCTGTGACTCTCAACAGCCAGCAGCCCATCAGTGATGGCAGAATGACTCCTGGCTCTCATCAAACTCCAGTTCACCCCAGCAACTCCAACCCTGGGGCAGCAACAAGCCAGCTACCTAGGCTGCAGGCAGTGGGCACATGACCTTCCCTGGGAATGTGGGTAAACTGGCCTTTCTTCAGTGAGCCTGGAGGCCATGAACTTACAGCCAGCAGCAGAGGAAGACTCCACCTAACCCTTAAGCTCCTGGTTCTGCCCTGCCTTCAGGCCTCAGTGAGAGGGCAGGGGGCAGGTATAGGTCTCAGCCATCAGAGACCTGCAGGCCAAGCATACACTTCCTGTAAGACAGAGGGGTACATGCCACGCCTTCAGACCTCAGCCTCCAAGGGGGGCCAAGCCCCCATGAATGGTGAGCTTGAGGAGGCCCCACTGGCCTCAGGACCTCGGAAGTTTTCATTAAACACTCCCGCTTGGCCAGGCCAAGGACAGAGCTCTTTGGTTTCAGCAACTCTGCTGGAATGATATGCATTACCAGCAGAGCCAAGATCAATACATGGGCCTGACCGGTGGGGAGGGCCACAGAGGTCATGATAAACAATGGAGTTTCTCTTCAAGCCCTTCCACTTAGACCCGGAAGGGAACATGTACATTTGAGGATTCGGGGGGCACGGGGCTGCAGCAGAGCTCCTGTTCTCACCTATGTTAGGTGGAGGCTCCTGGGCCCCAGTGCCCAGAGGGGAAGCCAGCTGCAGACAGGTTAACACTCACCTCTAAGGATGCCACCCCTGTCCAGAGCCATGAGCAGTGAAATAAGGACTGTTACAGAAAGGACGCTAGGCAGGGACTGCCTGATGGCAGCAGCCAGCACACTGCCATTTATTTCTCCCTGCCCTGTCCTGGGACCATGCTAAATGGCCTCTGAAATTTTTTTAAAACTCCATGTAACAGAACAGTTTACAGAATGAAAGAAAAATATCCCCCCCACTTAAATTCCTGACACTGTCCCCACAAAAATTAGTTTTCTGTTTTAATGGTCCCTTCTAGTCCTGGTTCACAGAAACACTTGGTTTTTAATTGTCACAGGCAGAGCAGGGAATTCCACATTTTGTATTTTCCAGTCTGACTCTGACCACTTCCCCACAGCGCCCCACAGAGCCTGCTTGTTGATCACTTTTATCGAAATACTTCATTGTTACAGGTGATGACACAGAAGCTCTGAGAGGGAAACCACTCCTTCACACAGCTGGGGGAGTAAGGACTTGGATCTAGGACCTCTGACTCCAAAGCCTCACTGGCAACACTCTTAATGGCCACATAATATTTCAAAGTGGTGGGGGGTTTTGTTTTGTTGTGTGTGTTTTTTTTTTAAGGAAAAAAAGAAAACCACCACTTACTAGGTCTTTTCCTTCCTATCTATTGGACCACCTTGAGATAAATTCTCAAATGGAATTATGTGAGCAAAGGAACATCCAAGTGTTTTTATGGTCGCCAGATGTATTATCAACATGTTTTCCACAAGAGTAGACTGATGTGCTCGGCCACTCAGGGTACTCACACGCAGAATGCACACCAGCATTAAGAGAACTGTCTGCAGGAAAGAGTCAGATTAGGGAAGCTCAGAAGTCCTGGGAAGCAGCAGGACCAGGCCAGCAAGGGGTTAATGAGAAAGGAGGCAGCTCTGGCGCACTGCGGATCGGATCAGGCCTAGGCCAGCCCTTCCCAGGCCGGCTTCCTGCGGGTGCCAGTCCAGCTCCAAGAAACCCAAGGAGTTGCCTTTTTAGGCCATAATCGAGAGGACACAACCAGAGGCTAAATTAGGATTCTCAGGAAATGATGAAACTGAAAGTAAATAGGTTGACCAAAAACCTCTGCTTTCAACCCAAAATGTCATTCCTCGATTATTTGCCCTCTCCCCTTCCCCCTAAAGACCCATTTGGATCTATTACTCCTTCCTGTTTTCCCAAGGAACCCTTTCTCTCCCTCCTTCCCTCCCTCCCTCCCTTCGGCTGGTTCTCTTTTTGTTATACTTGTTTGTGTGTTTGCTAGGAAAAGAAACTGCCTGCCCCTTGAAGACAGAATTTATTGTACTAGGACAGATCAGT